TCCGCAGACCAATCACTTATCGAAAATATGTGGTATTAATTTATGTAAGAGGTATTATGTTAATCATCAGATACACAATCTCCCAATCAACAACCCCAACGAGCTGGAAATTGCAGTTCAAAGAACATGGGTTAATATCCCTGGGCAGTGCATCAGGAGACCCTTTAAAAGCATACCGAGAAGAGTTCGTGCTCTTATCCAAAATCGCGGTTATCCCATTATATATTGATGATGAACTTGTTGACTTCATATTAGAATCATCTTTATTTCATTTCAGCTTATTTAGACTAGGTTTACACCACGAGTGCAATCCCATGCTAAATTTCGACAGATTTTCATATTTTACGGCAAAGTTAGCATTCAAAATGTATCAATGAACAATACAACATAGCAATATGGCAATCATAAATTCAGTATGTTATGTTTTATGTTTGCAAAACTCGCAAAGTTATGATCGTGCACTTACAGCATAAAAAGCAACAAAAATAATAAAATAGAACCTCTTAGAGATTAGCCTTAACAACATAGATCCTATAATTTAAATACAATTCCACCGCTACGTAGAGATGGCGGAACATCAGATGAACATAATGCCAAAATGAGGAGGGAAAGTAGCGCAACAGATTAAGGACAGTCAAATGTTGGATTTGGGCTATTTTCTGAGGATTTAAACAGATGCATATATTAGGTCAATGCATTACTTACAGAAAAAGCACTCTTAGAGATGATAAAATAATTTCGACTTTGAGACAGGGAAGATGCAAACAACCCACCCACATGTTTTATCTGAAATGTTGTCCTGATTTTCAAGCCCTTCCACCCTGCTTTTTCAATTTTTGATGCATCAATAGCCTAGTTTATGTTTTGACACACAATTAACCCCATTAAAGGAATAAGTAATTCCTTCAGGGGTTTTAAAGATATCCATTATGGATGACCAAAATTAGCTGAAAGCAATGGATCGCATGAGTATTCCCTATGGGAAAAAAACATGGGGAATATTGTTTTAGAGGAATTACTTATTCCTTTAAAGGTGTCTTAACTGTGTCTTAAAACGCAACATATTGTTGCAACAAAAATTGAAAAAGCAGGAGTGGAAGGGGTGGAAAATCAGGTCAACATTTTAGAAAAAACATGTGGGTGGGTTGTTTGCATCTCCCCTGTCTCAAAGTCGAAATTATTTTATCATCTTTATGAGTGCTTTTCCTGGAGATAATGCATTGGCTTAACAAATGCACCTGTTAAAAATCCTCAGAAAATAGTCAAAATTTAACATATGACTGTCCGAAATCTGTCGCGATACTTTCCCTCCTCCTTTCATGGCTTTGCACAATATATTAGCGAAGTTATACAGGAAAACGTATTGTCAAAATTTCCAATTTGAAATGTTGATCACACAAATAATAAAAATCTACAAAGGTTGCCAAACTTATGGAAGGGAGTGCAAGTCAAAGGGAACTTTCTAGCCGCTATGCTATCTGATCCAATTTGAACCACCTGGTGGTGAAACTGGTATCTACCTACTCGCATCTGACAGATCTGAGTTGTTGTCTTTTTATTCGAATAATTTCATGGATTAAGTAAGGCTGCTTTCTGCTTGAATTACAATATATGTGAAAAATAAGTTTTCATGTCACCACCAAAAAGTGGTGACATATTGTCATGGTCTACGTTTCTTTTGGCGGCGGATGGCCGTATACAGGGTGTCTCAAAAAAATGTACCCAAAAGTATATCAAGAGCACAGATAAACCAATCAATATTTTCAGACATTGTTTGCATGGTCATGTAGCCAAAACATGAAAGTTTTCTCCCTAATACACCATTTTTATTTCTGTCTTGTCTTTTTGATGCTTTAACCGTTTATCTTTTACACCAAATAATCGATGAAACCTCATATTTCGATGACAGCCTGTATCCTTACTGCTTCATTGTTCATCACATTTGATAGTAATTCCGGTGGAATGTTTTGGATTTCTCTTTGGATGTTGCCCTCAAGTTGTTCTAGGTCTTTTTGCTTGGAATGAGCATTAAAACACTCCTTCAAATAGCCACAGAGAAAGATGTTTGAGGATGACGATGGGAGAACAAACACAGATAATCAGGTCAATTATCGGCAAATAATTCAGGAGTTTAGTAACCTTCCAGAGTTAGTCAGGCTAGCCTGGAGACCAAATGATATCTAAATGAAAACACAGTGGTCTCAAATTGATACACACAACAAAGGCTACACTAGAATCGCCACCAATGCAGTTTCTTGAACCTCTGACCTCTCTGTATAAGGGGGCTATAAGACATTGTGAGGGCCTCACTATTCACCATATTTGACGGCCCATACTTTTTTCTGAGGCTATTTGAAGGAACATTTTTATGCTAAACTGCAAGCTAAGAGACCAAGAACAACTTAAGACCAGAATCCGAACAGAAACCAAAACATTCCACCAGAAATATCAAATGTGATGAACAATGTAGTAGTAAGAATGCTGACTGTCATCGAAATATGAGGTTACATTGAATATGTGGTGTAAAGGGTAACGGGTTAAAGTATCAAAAAGGCAAAACTGAATTGAAAACTGTGTATAGGTGAAAAAACTTTTATCTACAAGACCATGCAAAAAATGTCTGATAATATTGATTGGTTTGTCTATGCTGTTGACATACTTTTGGGTACATTTTTTTGAGACACCCTATATAGATTGGCTGTGGATGGGGGGGGGGGGGGGGGGGGACAGTCATTATGAAACACCCTGTATATAACTATTTGACATATATTCTGTGTTTTTCACCTTAACCCACAAGGGCAGTGTATGGGGGGACAGAAATTTATATTAATTTTGAGATCTTTCTGAAGTATAGCTTTATTATACTCAAATTAAATTATAATATAATTATGATGGCAAATATTGTATCACTTTTCTGATTTGGGCCTTATAAAATTCAAAATGGCTGTCAAATGGAGAATTTCATAGTAATTTTCTGTTATCTCCAAAGTATGGCTATATTATACTCAAATTTAAGGAATTTTAGAGTAGATCACATTTATGGTATTGTTCTTACGATTTGTGCCCCAGAAAATTCAAAATGGCTGCCTAAAGGAGGAATTCAATATTACTTAGAGATTTCTTCAAAGTATGTTTACATAATAGTATATCAGATCTCACATATTGTATTGTCTTTATGATTTTAGTCTTTGAAACTACATGGACATCCAAAATGCTTAAATTGGTGGGAATTCTGATACATCTCTAATGTATGTCTTTTAATATCTGCCAACTTAATCAAGGGTAGAGTAGATTGTAAATATTACATTGTGACATATACAGGATTCATGAATATAGAGTTTATTGGGATTTGCTACTACGGGAAGTTGCAGATTTCTTGTTTGAACTAGAGCTAGCAACCAAGTGCAATAATCATGGTGGATGTATCATTACATGTCTCATGATTTTTTGATCTCTGAGCATTAGGTAGATAACATTGAAAATGAAGGATGTCACAATGAAAGATGAAATGTTGAATCAAAGAATGTGATTTCTTGTAACATCAAATAACATCATCAGCTACTATTCTACCGGAGAAAATAATCTTAAATATGAATATAATCAATATTCACAAGATATTTTCGTAATCATTTATACCAGAGAAAATAGTCTAAATGCATTCTGATACTCATAGCATCGCTGTTGCATCTCTCCAGAAGGATAGATATGGAGAGGGCGTGGCTTACCACGATGGTCTAAATGTGAATCAAATTAATATTCACAAGATGTTCTCATAACCATCCCTACTGGAGAAAATAATTTTAAATGTGAATATACATAATCAATATTCACAAAATGTTTTCGCAATCATTTGTACTGGAGAAAATAGTCTAAATGTGAATCAAATTAATATTCACAAGATCTTTTCATAATCATTCATACTGGAGAAAATAATTTTAAATGTGAATATAATCAATATTCGCAAGATGTTTTCGTAATCATTTATACCAGAGAAAATAGTCTAAATGTGAATCAAATTAATATTCACAAGATCTTCTCATAATCATTCATACTGGAGAAAAGAATTTTAAATGAGAATTGAATTAATATTAACAAGATGTTTTTGTAATCATTCATACTGGAGAAAAGAATTTTAAATGTGAATATAATCAATATTCATAAGATATGTTTCATAATCATTCATACTGGAGAAAATAATTTTACATGTGAATATAGTCAATATTCACAAGATATGTTTTCGTAATCATCCATACTGGAGTAAATAATTTTAAATGTGAATATAATGAATACCTATTCACAAGATATGTTTTGTAATCATTCATACTGGAGAAAATAATTTTGAGTGAATATAATCAATATTCATAAGACACGTTTTTCGTAATCATTCATACTGGCGAAAATAATTTTCAAGGTGGATATCATCAGTATTCATATGATATAAAGAAGTTATTCACCAGGAGGGATTTGATATGGGGAATATCAGAAGGATGATATCAATGTTTCCCAAGGGAACTCAGTGACCGAGGGAAATATTGATATCATCCAAGGGATATTCCCCATAAAAAACCTACTGCCAGTAGGATGGTACAAAATAACATTTTTGAAAAGTTATAATATTGTTCTTTTAGAGGATAAAAGGGATGTGAAATTAAAAAGAATTTACTTCTCCCATAGGCCAAAAAGTTTAACAATTTGGCCTAAATGGCAAATAACATTTATTTCCTAGATTCAAATAAAGAATGCAATGGGTTACAAGACTAAAAATTTTGAAAAATAATTAAGAAAAAAATATTTTGGAACAAAAATTTGAAAAAACCTACTTGGTATAAGATAGAATGGGGTTTATCCCTGCATCCCTCTGGATATCCAAGACCTCACATTTCTTAACTCTTATGTACATGTCAGAGATCTAGCAATGTTTAACTCTATATAATACAAGATTCTATATTTGACATATGTATTGGACAAAATATGGAATTAAACTCACCATTTATTCCCCACCTGTTGTATCTTACCCGTACATTCAACTGTCATACATAATTGGTACAGCCCCTGTGTCCATGTATAAATTTAATGGAGGTAGGAATAATCATTCACAGAATAGACAAATATCTTTATATCTTTTAAATTTATATTTCATGATTTCTACTTCTGAGATATTGACAAGTATGTCTAACATACCTGCATATTTCCAAACATTGCTAAAACTGTACACTTTATTTTACAAAACTGACAAATGCAGTTTATAGTTCAATGATGTTATCAAAAGACCACTCATCCTTTCTATTCAGTATAGTACTATGATGAATTGTCTCTACAATATTGATTGGCAAGTGTCCGTAAAAATTTCAACTTCCGTTTCTCAACAGCTTGATGTAGGATCTCCTCTGTATTGCTACTGTTCAATTCATAGCAACTAATTGCCTTTAGCTGAAAATACAATAAATTAACATTACTATGGTAGCACGCATACTGTAACAATAGTATCTGATGATGTCATGGAGCAGAAAACTCCGCAACCATAACAGCACAGTATTTGCGTGCTTGCAGGCTCTACGCTGTTGGTAATACTGTAAACACTTTAAATCTGCGGCACCAATGTTCCGCGAAAGTTCCAAGAAAGGAATAATCTGTGACACTTGATTCACGTATCACATTACAGTTAATTCACCGGATTACCTTATCAATAGAGAGTTTAAGCTTGCGCTGTTTTTCACAACCTAAACATGAATGGAAAGTACATGACTCAATATAGGAATGGGTCGAGCTCGCACTTTACTTTTGTATGCGCTAAATTCAACCATGAGAATAAAACCCTGTTTATCATGCCGATCAGGTAAATCCTAACGATCTGAAAAATGAGACCTGTATCGCCCTTATTTCAAAAGTTATAGCATCCATCCAAATTGGAGGGGGTCTGAATTTCAACAAAACCCTGGTTACCATGGCAATCAATCAAAAACCAGCTCCCAAAACCCAAAGTCTTATACAAGACTTAAAATCAACATTTTAAAGATCTTTTTAAGATCTGAAATAAGATCTGAAAAAATTAAACCTGTATCTCCCTTATTTCAAAAGTTATAACATCTATCCAATGTGGGGTTTCGAGTCTGGGAAATATACCCCAGTATAAGCCATGGACCCATAACTACAAAATCTGAGATTCTATGGATTGATCTTTACATTAAATTGTTGCTAGTAGATTATTATTTTCCATTCAAACTAGCACATGTGTGACAAAGTATGCATGAAATGATTCTTTCCTTCCTGAAAAAATGGCCTGAAAATCGACATCAAAAGGGTGTTTTATCTGTTTCCATGGCAACCACCATGACATGAAATTTTTATCACATATTTAGTTACCCTATACCAATGTATCCTAGTAATTTGAAAACATTCCAACGAGTTTCTTGGAGTTCTGGACCAGTTTCATAGTTGGGGTCCAAATTATAGCCCGTGGGGGGTAAAATGGCCACAAAATCTAAACGCTGAAAAACTAAGATCTAATAATCCATACAAATACGTAAAATCATACTTGCATCATGGAAAATTATTACCCTAAAATCCCTCCGAGCGCACGCTTAAACCCTCATTCTGACAAGACTAAAGCCATTCGGGTTGTTTTCAGTTTTTACTCATTATAATTCCAGGGGACTTTTATTCTAGGCTAAATACTTGATTTATTTAAAGCATCTGTTTTTCATGTGCATTTAATTTTTGCGATGTTTTGTAAATGGCAAAAATGTGGAAATTAAGTGCACATAAAATTTATGTGTTTTACAGTATATCCATGTGAATATCATTAAAGAATTTTCATTCACAGCTGCAACAACAGGATATACATGATATTAAATTGTATTATCTCATTCTACTTACCGCAATCTGTTGTTTATCTTCCTCCCCTCTGTTATGATGAAGATCTTCAAAAAGTTAAGTCCAAAACAAAAATTATCAAAATCATTGAGATAACTAGGAGCAAGTGGTTTATAATTGATTTTAAATCAAAGTACATGTATACCCTAGCAAATAAAGACCAATGTTGAATATTTTCATTTTAGTTTTTGAATTTGGACAAAAATCAATAACATTTACTTTATAAGGTTAAATAAACTAAACCCCCTTTTACTCAAGCGAAAGTCATTTTTAAAATATTTTCAAAGATCTTTCAAGTGGCTAAATTTAAAACTGAAATATCCCATCATAAAACATAATAAAAATATAAACAACAAGCCAAAAGGCATGAAAATAATTTATACTTTCATGTACGAAACCCTACTTGAAATTACTTTTAATAAAAAAGATACTGGCTAAGTACTCCAGGATGGTGATATCCCATATGAAATCATAATAGGTATCCATGGCATCACAAGTCCCTTTCTCTTGTGCTGACTTGAATGCAAGTGAGTAATCCACATCATCTAGCAGCTGGCATAGCACTATTACCTACAATACACATGAGACTATATACCATGAGATGGATATGAATAACCCAGATCCGAGTAGATACATGGCTAAAGCAACAAACTTCAAATTTCCTGAAAATTTAATGGTGAAAGATGTGGGCTAAGCGAGTGGTGAGTTTGGGCGGGTCCTCCCTCCCAAGAAATTTTGGGAAAAGAGATTATAATTAAATATGACCTTAATTTAATAACTCTTGCTTGACCACCTACTTCCCCCTAGAAATAAACCCTGATTTTTACTGAACTCAATAGGGTCAGATTTTGGTCCATTTTTTCCTGAAATTTCCTGAAGTTCCTAAAGACTAAGCCATGTAGGTAGTACCAGTTTCACCACCAGGTGGCTAATTCGGGTCAGATAACAGGGCAGGTTATGAGAAAGTAAACTTGAATATTCATCAGTTCTAGTGGATCAATTTTCATATTACCTTTATGAATCTGATAGTTATACAAATTAAAATATGTCCAGTAAAAGGTAATATTATCTGTCCAATATAAGAAAAGATATTTCACTTTTTGTGATTTTATAACATGGGGTCTATGGGGAATCTTCTTGACCTAGAAATCACACTTTCAAAGAAAATTAAATTTCAAAATTAATAAACACTTCTACAATTAAACAACAATTCTAGATGTAATTTTACATGTAGATTTCAAATATGACATCACTTTGACTCACATTGGACTGAATTTTGAATATTTAATGATGTAAATCAAGATTATTTCTACTCGCATCGAGTCTACTGATATCATGAAAATCAAATACTTTTACATGCACACAAGAGATTTTCCACTGTTCAGAAAATGTGCTTCTTATTACGCAATTTTCTGGAAAGATATTCAAAATGGGTTCAGTTTTGTGTAATTGTAGTTCTTGGTTTCACACAACTTTAATACCCTGGTTGAAAAAAGCATGCAATTTAAATAAGAATTAAAAACATGGCAGCTACCTGTGTATGATTGTTGAGATTCGAGCAGCACTTGATCAGTCTACGGTATAGGGCATCATTGTATATATTAAGAGGCACAGGTTGACTAAAGTAATGGCTACTCACTGCCCCGGCCTCTAAGTAGCTCTGTACTGCGGCCATATACTGTTGACAGGCTAAAACATGCAATAAGCATACTGTTATAATGTTTGTTGTAACATCAGCTTTATTATGGAGATTATGGCAATTTGAACATTCGCCAATTTCCACCTTTTCCAACATTTAAGAGAAATCTTCTGGAATCTGTTCTTTTTTTGTTTGAAAAGTACATATTACTGTATACATTTAAAGGGAATAGTTAAAACTGTTCAAACACCTTGCACTTTGAATAAGTGGACTTAGAAAATTGATATACTTATTAAGAAACTCAGGATGCATCTTAAGAAATTTTAACCTATTGTCAAAACTGAGGCACAAAATTTTCATTTTATTTTTGTAGACATGTCGAAAAAATTAGGTGGCTCAAGTCTCTGGTTCCATGCTCTGTCACCCTGATGACATTGGAAATCTATGCAACATTATACAATACAATGTACCTACCATAGTGAATATCAGCCTTTGTACGTAACAGTTGAGCATTGTTGGGTGAGGTCTCGATAGAATGATCCATCAATCTCCAAACACCATCCCCAAGAGCTGATTGGTTGATGCCACCTGAACTATAAATAGAATAAATTCAAATATATCAAGTGCCTCTCAGCCAATCAGATTTAAGTAATTTGGTATAAATGAACAGCTGTATATGGAAAAAATTCTCCAAAGTTTGCAATTGTAGTACTGTGACATCACAGTAAAGTGATACTGACATTAAAACAACATGAAGCTATATTTGAGCTGAAATATATCATGCTTCCAATATGCTTATATGTATTATCATGGGCATTCAACTAGTTGAATGCCCATGGTATTATGTAATATTTGAATTGCAATAAACAATCCTGTCAGTCTATATTGAATATGTATGCACTCATCACCAATAAAAGGTAATGTTATTACACTTCAAGCCTCTGACACTTTATCTACAGTATGACATTTCACATACCGTATTCTCTGTAATTAGCGCCCAGGGCATTTAGAAAATTGAAAATACATTATTTAGACCATTCTAATAAGCACCCATGTATGAAAGAAATCAGATATCCCGAGGAATTTCATGTATGGCAATTTTTCTTGACAAGAATGCATTTTCTTCAACATATTTTTATAATAATATGACAAGTGCTGTTATTGGAGAGAATACGGTAAAGATCGCTTAGACAATATTGACAGTGGTTGAAGACCCGTCTATGTCTAATTTATTTCCGGCACGCCCACTTTGTCATTATCGCCGATTACCTTCAATATTTCCACTAGAGACTGCTGGATATCGATCTAAAGTTATACATTATTTCTAATTTGATGAGAGATCATCATTATTCGTGCAAAAGTCGTGTAAAAGTCGAGAAACATTAAAAAGAAACCAGAAAGTTCACGACCTTGACATGCGCAGAACATCTGCGCAGTAGCTTTTGAAATTTCTGAATGCCGATAAAGAACAATTCCTTCATTCATTATGGATTATTATGATTCCTCGATGTTTCTTGAACTTTGTGAAGCGGGGTGGGCGCTTATTAGAGAGTGGGCGGTAATTACAGAGAATACGGTATGTTGCATCTTTGATATAATCACTAAATCTTACGTTGGTAGTGCAGTGGGCCAGAGACTGATATATTCACAGGATATTTCACATGTTATATCTTTGATATAATCACTAAATCTTACGTTGGAAGTGCAGTGGGCCAGAGACTGATATATTCACAGGATATTTCACATGTTGTATCTTTGATATAATCACTAAATCTTACGTTGGAAGTGCAGTGGGCCAGAGACTGATATATTCACAGGATATTTCACATGTTGTATCTTTGATATAATCACTAAATCTTACGTTGGTAGTGCAGTGGGCCAGAGACTGATATATTCACAGGATATTTCACATGTTGTATCTTTGATAAAGTTACTAAATCTTAAGTTGGTAGTGCAGTTGGCCAGAGACTGATATATTCACAGGATATTTCACATGTTGTATCTTTGATAAAGTTACTAAATCTTACGTTGGTAGTGCAGTGGGCCAGAGTCTGATATATTCAAAGGATATTTCACATGTTGTATCTTTGATAAAGTTACTAAATCTTACGTTGGTAGTGCAGTGGGCCAGAGACTGATATATTCACAGGATATTTCACATGTTGTATCTTTGATAAAGTTACTAAATCTTACGTTGGTAGTGCAGTGGGCCAGAGACTGATATATTCACAGGATATTTCACATGTTGTATCTTTCACAATGCTGTAGAGTTTAGTCACACAAGACAGCAGAACTCTCAAGCATAATGAGCCCTTATAAAATAGAAATATAACATGCATAATATTACCCTTTTATAACTTAGGCTATGATACAGCAAATAACTTAATTTGGTTGGTTTTGTATCAAGGATAACAGTGAAAATAAAACAAATAAGAAATTGTGTAAAATGTTTACTTAATTAACATGTAGTTTGGGTATTCTAACATTCATATTGCCCTAAAATTATCCACATTCAACATAACTAGTATTGTGCCTTGTTCTTACTTGTATTTTGAGGGCAAATGTGAGGAAGGAATGCTGGGATAGTTGTTCCATACTTTTCTGTCCCCCTGTACCACTGTATAGTTGAACCACTAAAAATGGAAGTGGATTATAGATTTTCACAAGGCATTAACATGCAAAATGTCACTACCTGCCATTAGTTATGGATGCTGACAAGTTTATGAAAAGTGTTCAGATTAACATTAGACAGATTAATTTTTCAAATATGACTGTTCATTACTCAAATTGTGAGGTGTTCTGGCATTTTAAGGGTTTTCTAACATGAGAGTCAATGGGAGGAAAAATTGGGACTAAAAAGTGTTCAGATTGGGAGGTGTTTGGATTAGCCATTCAAATATACAGGTTTTATTGTACTAAATAATTAAATGAATTATATGTACAGTATTCTTCTTATGGGGGTACAGTGGTGAATATGGTATAATTGTACCTGTGTCCCATAGATTTCTACTTGGTTTGCGAGCATTCTGTATGTCTGGTAGTTCCTTGCATGTCTCTGCTACAGCCCTGGCAAACTGAAATATCAACAAACTCAAAGGGTGATTCATATAGGGCTATTTAGGACACATTTCTTTCCAAAAACAAAAAATTGGATAACATTTTTTTAGTTTATACCAGTATTTGATTAAAAAGCTGATGTTCTAATTCCATTATTATATTTCATGGCAAAATGAATAATTCTTTGAAGTGAGCACCATCTATTTAGCATTTTAAAGCTATTTTACACCTCAACAAGTCAATATCCCATTAACGGTTTCTAAATAAATGCAGGTCCTTACAATTTTGGAATATGTCAGGTGATATCTCATCAGATGTTAATGAAAAAACTCCATTTTCTCTCTACTGAAACGAATCATCAACGTGACGAAAAGTAACCACCTGGTTAAACACAATGATTTCATTTTCATGTTCAACTTATATAAATTGAACACCTTTATGGTTTTTCAAATTTTGATAATGCACTGATATACCCCCCTATGGGTATCTAGTGTGTAAATGTAATACTTGATCATAATAATTATGTTATATGAATAAAAAAAAAGAATAAAAAAAGTGTGACAATTTGTTACAGACACCAAAATGCAAACTGATCGATCACTGGCCCTAACTAGTGGTAATGACAAATTGATCTCACACTGATACATGAGTGTGGTTGAACCTTAAATGAATTTCATGTTATTTCTTCAATGAAAATATTGATTAAGTATGTCAATGTCATGGTTCACTTTGTGTCAGTTTGTGTTGTTTAAGCACTTGTTAATTTTTGGTGAAGTTTTTTATAAAAATTCCCACCCCTGTCTGTTCTCGCAGGGGGGTCTCAAAAATGTGAATGGTTTTACCCTGCAATCCCAAGCACAACACAGTGGTATTCTATTAAAACACTAAAATGGCATATAGCCACAATCCACTCATATGATATTAAGTGCAGCACATACATATGAGGGTTACCTGTATGTATTCGTTGGTGGTGTTGGTAGCGTGGCAGATGTATTCCCATTCCTCCACACACAGTAGGAAAGCCAGCGAGTATGTCATTGTCTCCAGGCCTGGTTTGATATCTACAATGTAAGAAGTATATAGTTGAATTATTTACAAATGTTTACATAGTACTATTTATTTGCATGTACATAAAGTCTCCTAAATTGCATCTAAATTCTTTGTTTTTGGTGTTTTTACCTGATATTTTCTAGAATGGAATGTAGCATTCTATTTTTGGTTTTTGGAAAATCACCACCAATGGTTAAGTTGGTAATAACATGAAAACGTCAAAGTTATTTGCCCAATGATCAAAATTGTAATAATGGGTAGGAATATCCTCCTAGAAGTGTCCTAAAATATCATATGCATTTATTTAGCACACTTTAATGTAGACTAAGGGGAGATGATGGATGTAGTAGACTATATTTAATTTACAATGTTACGATATAGAAAAAATTCAAATGTATTTTTACCAAAATTGAGGCTCAATTTAGCCACATTTTAAGGTGGTAGGTATACGCAATTTAACAAACAGAGCATAGAAAATTTGGTTCGAGTGAAGCTGCAAGTGATGGAATGTTTTTAAGATGTGCACCTACCTGAAAAAAAATTCTGGGGAGATCACTGACCTGCAATTTGGTACAGATGCCAAATGGGTAAAGACGGGTCCATCTATACCCATAAAAATATAACCATGAGAAAGAAGAAAAGAGCTTTAAAATGCTTTTTATTTGAAACTTCTAGCTCAATTTTGAAGAAAGTTGCATCAATTTTTGTAAAATTCAAGATAAATCTTAATTTTTTGGCTTGTTTATGCCACAAACGCACACCCCAGACTGAAAACAAAATTTTTTGGCAATCGCCCCCCCCCCTGACTGAAAGCTGGCTACACCCCTGATGTGTCACCACTTGTGGTGGTCACATACAAAACAGTTTCATATCATTTCCAACATACATGTATATCAATGCTATACCTGATTCTAATCTGTATGCTGTTACACATGCCTTGGCTTTCTTCAGTAGTTCTGGTTTAGCAACCCCCTCCATAACAGTGCCATGTCTCTGATAATACAGAAGGTCAGCTAGTAGCACCTCCCAGCGAATCAGTTTAACAAGCTTGTAGGAGAACTCTTTAATTGTCTTTTCAGCTGTCAGTAGTAACTCTTTGGCTTTGCTGTATAGCTGAAATACATAATCTTAAAAGTACTTTTTGAAATTGTAAAGGATTAAAGGCAGTCTAGAGTAAATTATTAAAAATGCAATACGAAAGAGTTTTCGCACAATGCATTATAGCTAAAACGTATCCGAATCTTGCTTTATCTGAACTACTACGCATAAATCTGGTAAATACGTTACAGATTTAATATATGTAAGGCTAAGAACGTTGTGCGAAAACTTGATTAGAAAATGGAGAAAATGTGATGAATATTTACATAAACACAGCTTTAACATGACAAAATATCACTACCTGGTTTTGCATTAACAAAAGTTCAACCATTTTTCACACCAACACAACAAATGCAGGTAACAACAAAAAGTGGAGGCTTAAAAATATGTCAGCACTTTTTTGGTGGTGACTGAACCTAGATCTTTGTGTTAAAGTAAGCATCAATAAACTGTTTTGGAAATGAATTTCTGCAATATGTTTTTCATTGTTATTTTTGCAAAAGTAGAGATATTAAAAAAGCATTTTTAGTCGACTCTTGACTCTACTTGCACCACAAATTATGTCATCGTTTGAGAGCTAATTTCTGTTACAATATAACAACCTACCTTCATTTGTAAGGCCTGTCTGGCCTTAGCAACCACTATAAAGCACCAACTTTGGTTAAGGCCCTGAGGGAAACTGTCAAAAATGGCCTGGAGCTCACGATGTAACTTCCACTGAAAAACATGAACAGTGATCCTCAGTGCAGCATTTGATCAATTTTAATATTTTTATTTACTTTTCTTATTTTTTATTTTATCTTTACAATCTTATTCAATTTATTATTTCGTCCTATTTAAGTCCTAAGGGGAACTATCAAAGATGCACCGCAGCCAATAATGAAAGTTCACAAAATTTATCTGTATGGGTCTTAGATGACAAGGTATACTAACAATTAATTTTCATGAAACTTACATACCTTTTCATTTAGACCTTTAACAGCCCAGCCCAACTTTGGGTGCAACTGTTGTAGAATAGCTTTAATTTCAGCAGGATCGTAGGACAGTAGAAGAGCCTTCTCTAGAACTCCTGGTTCTAAAATATATACATGCATCTTTAGAGCTGCATTAAATATAGGATATAAGTGGTCAGGGGAGGGAGCAATGTATCAAATGGAGCTAAGTTGAAGTAAATATCTAGATGCATAAATAACATTGAAATAGTTGAATATTTAAGTTGTATAAAAGTCTGACAGAGATGAAAGAATTCCATTGCCAATTTCTGGTCCAATATAGTGTTTTAAGTCTGATTCTGGAAAACATGTGAGATCCCAATCAAAAAGCTATCAAGAATGGCAAAAGACTTCCACTGGAAAAATACAATATGCAGAGATCAAAAAGCTCTCCATTACAGCAAAACAAAATGCACACAAGAAATACACAGGGGATCAAAATGACCAGTCAGTGATTGAAAAACCAAACTAATACATACCATTACTATGCGTTTCCCAATGGTTCAATGAAGTGTCAGGCTTGAAACAAGGTCTGCTCTCTGCAGCAAGTAATATCTGTAAGCTGTCACTGTTCTCTATGTATTGCATAAGGTTGTTCTGGGTCAACAATGGAAGTATCTCAGATGTCTGTACACTTAGTCTTGATAACACACTCCTGTTTAATTTAAGTAACAGTTATTAGGTATAATACATAGGCAAGAAGTACCCTTACTCCAATATTAATACAAATACAGGGTGCACAAAAAACAGGGTCAAAGAAAAGTTTATTAACTCGATCAATCTTGCACACACTGCCTTTGTATTACACAATTATTAAGTCCATTTAATGTGAATTTTGTATTGAAAGTTTGATGAATCTGCCAATTAAGTCAAAAAGTACATTAATTCACAAAACATGGTACAAGTGGACATCTCTCCTCTCTATATTCAGTTGAGCATGAGTGAGTTTAAAAGGGTTTCACAAAAATGTACTTATTTGAAAATGCAGGATACTGCTTGTTGAGATGAAAATCATTATTTTCAAACATACTTTCCTAGCCAGAAAAGTATAATCCACCAGTAACTGCTGTTTTATTAAGTATTACCTGAGGAAGTTTCTGATGTGATGCTTCTGATCTTTAGTGGCCATTCTACCTGCCCTGTCAAGAGCCTAGAAGAAAAAGAAATTGTACCATCTGTAATTCAAACCAAATAAATAATGATAGTATTACAGCCAGGATCCTATATAGAATAATCTTTGCCTTGGTAAAAAAAAAAAAAAAATTCAAAACAATTTTCACAGTTGCTACTTTTATTTCTTAATATATGTTGATAAACTCAATATTGGATTAGTGTAGAATTATTTTCTCAACCCTTATAAAGGGAAAATTCTTTGAAACTAGTTCCTACTCTTCAAGCAAATATACAATGGCCTTCCAACAAAATCATGTCCTTAATGTGTATGTATGTAAATTATTTAAAATGTTGCTTCAATATTAAATCCCCAGGATTAAATCAGATAATGTTACTGGCAAAGGGTTGTCACTATACATTTCCAAATCAATATTCCCTGCTAGAGAAGCCCTGTGTTCTTTTATGTGCACTCATACATAGACATACAAGTACACACTATAGCCTTTTTACGACTTGCGGACCACTCAGTCAAACACCCTGAAGTATATTAAGCAAACAAGTAAATTAAGTCTTGCCTGAACCGGGGATCGAATCCAGGACCTATTGCGTAAGAGGTACACGCGCTACTACTGAGCGATGTGGGTGGACTAATGCCATCTTTATATCAGGTTAAAACCATTTCAGTTTCCTTGCCTTTTTTCTCCTTTTCTCAAAACCTGTTGCAAATATTGAAATAACACACATACATGTACTACACCAACACATGGACTTACTTTGAACAGGAATGCGAGTTGTTGGCTGGTGAAGTCATGTATCATTGCCATATAGTGTGTGCAGACTTGAGGTTCTGCATCCAATAGTCTGTGTACAGTGTTACATGTATATAGTGATATATACACATCCCTACAAAATAAACAATGGGAAAGTCAGCCAAATAATATCACATTGTTAACACAATAAAAACATTTTTCATTGCAAGAACATATCATGTTTACCCCATGTGGCCAAGAGTGGTCTATTTGAACAGTGAATTTGTTAATGAATTGAATGGTTGATTCATTAACCCTTAAACGATTAGGCTGTATGTTAGGCCCTATGATCTTGGAAACAAAAAATCATAGGAGGTTGCATTAGCTATCATTGGAAAGGTTATCCGATTCCTAGTATTTTGAGCTTACTTATAATTATCAAAACTACTGACAATTTGGGTATTTCAGTAATTTGACAAGCTCTAACTTTCCTCCTTGGGGGGTTATAAGTCACCAACAAGCCTAATTCAATTTTAAGAAAAGCCAGGATGATAGAGAGTGAAAAATGTTGGAAGCAATTTTTAATACCTGTCATATATGAGATCATCTTGCAATGTCTGTCTGTAGGATCTGGACAGTTCTCTAGTTTCATTGTCCTTCAGGAGTAAATCAACAAGGGCATCCTAAAACATGCAAAGCATACATAGAGATTATCCTATATGAGGTTCAGGATATTTGGATTATCCCGAGGCCAATATAATATATCTGCCCGAGGGCCGTAGGTAAATAGAGATTATCCCATACTTGGACATGTTTCAGGTACATAAAGCCGGTTTGTAAAAACTTTTATCCCATACTTGGACGTGTTACAGGTACATAAAGCCGGTTTGTAAAAACTTATATTTTCATCAGCGGGCAGATATAGCTTTACGTCCCGCTCCGAGCGGGCAGATATAGTATATCTGCCCGCTACGTCATAATCGCAACTCGCATATTTGTTCATAATTTGTAACATTCGCGTAATGACTGTAAACGACAATGGAGAAAACAGAGACTATCGGGATCTGTTTGATGGTTTAAAAAATTAGTACCGTGGGTACTGGGCTCACATGGCGACAGAAAAAACCGGATATAATTTTTTGCTGATTTTTTGTAACAAAATTATTTCAAGCCACTTGCCACTATTTTGGACTGACTGAGAGACAGATGGACAAATCAATGTTAAGTAAAATGGCTGAGAAAAAAAACGGATATAATTTTTTGCCAATTATTTGGAACAAAATTATTTCATACAACTACTCTTTACAGTGACATGGCTTTTTGCAATGCAAGACACCTGAAATTATTTGTAAAGCTAGGAAATAGGCCAAAATTGAATTTCGCGAGACAAAAATGGCGACCATTTTGAAATCAGGCAAGCTTTTGAAACAGGAGTCATAGGGGAGTTTTTTTGTATTGATGTTGAACAAAAATAATGTGAAACTGGAATCCTATCGACAGAGGTTTTAAGCAAATGGTTCAAAAGAGGATTTCGCAAGACAGATGGACAAATCAATGTTAACTAAAATGGCTGAAAATAAAAAAACAGATATAATATTTTGCCGATTTTTTGTAACAAAATTATTTCATACAACTACTCTTTACAGTGACACGGCTTTTTACAATGCAGGACAGCTGGAATTATTTGTAAAGCTAGGAAATGGGCAAAAAGTGAATTTCGCGGAACAAGAATGGCGACTTTTTTGAAAATAGAGGAGCTTTTGAACCAAGAGTCATAGGAGAGTTTTTTGTATTGATGTTGAACAAAATTAATTTAAAACGGAAATCCTATCGACAGAGGGTTTAAGGTAAATGGTCCAAAAGTGGATTTTGCGAGACAGATGAACAAATCAATGTTAACTAAAATAGCTGAAAATAAAAAAAATGGATATAATTTTTCGCTGATTTTTCGTAACAAAATTATTTCATACATCTACTCTTTACATAGACATGGATTTTTACAATGTAGGACACTTGAAATTATTTGTAAAGCTAGGAAATGGGTCAAAAGTGAATTTCGCAAGACAAAAATTGCGGCCATTTTGAAAATAGGCGAGCTTTTGAACCAGGAGTCATAGGGGAGTTTTCTGTATTGATGTTGAACAGAAATAACTTAAAACAGGAATCCTATCGACAGAGGTTTTAAAACGTGCCACTGTTATTGACGGAAAGTGGATTTCGCGAGTCAGATAGACAAATCAATGTTAACTAAAATGGCTGAAAATAAAAAAAATAGATATAATTTTTCGCTGATTTTTTGTAACAATATTATTACATATATCTACCCTTTACATTGACATGGATTTTTACAGTGAAGGACACCTAAAATTATTTGTAAAGCTAGGAAATGGGTCAAAAGTGAATTTCGCGAGACAAAAGTGACGGCCATTTTGAAAATAGGCGAGCTTTTGAACCAGGAGTCATAGGGGAGTTTTCTGTATTGATGTTGAACAGAAATAACTTAAAACGGGAATCCTATCGACAGAGGTTTTAAAACAAATGGGTCAAAAGTGAATTTCGCGAGATAAAAGTGGCGGCCATTTTGAAAATAGGCGAGCTTTTGAACCAGGAGTCATAGGGGAGTTTTCTGTATTGATGTTGAACAGAAATAACTTAAAACAGGAATCCTATCGACAAAGGTTTTAAAACGTGCCACTATTGTTGACGGACGGACAGACGGACGGACAGACAGACGGACAAGTGAGTGATTGCAAAAGCTCACCATGTGAGCTAAAAAGGGAAGGAGCATCCACTTAATCAATCAAAAATTAGAGAAAATAAATATGGGAATATTTGAGAGAACAGGAAAATCCGCCCACGGCCAAGAAAACAAAACTGGACATGAGTATTCTAAAATATTTCCATGATTGAACAATGTTAACCAGATGACCAAGATTGGTATGGGATAAACATATTATCCTATAGTCGGTTCAGGATATTGGGATTATCCCTTGGCCAATATAATATATTTGCCTCGGTATAATCCCAATATCCTGAACCTCATATAGGATAATCTCTATATATTTCCATCAGCGAGCAGATATAGCTTTATGTCCCGCTCCGAGCGGGCAGATATAGTATATCTGCCCGCTACGTCATAATCGCCACTCGCATATTTGTTCATAATTTGTAACGTTCGCGTAATGACTGTAAACGACAATGGAGAAAACACAGACAATCGGGATCTGTAATCAATCAGAAATTTGAGAAAATAAATGTGGGAATATTTGAGAGAACAGGAAAATCCGTCCACGGCCAAGAAAACAAAACTGGACATGAATATTCTAGAATATTTCCTTCGGTCAAATATATTATATTGGCCTCGGGATAATCCCAATATCCTGAACCTTATATAGGATAATCTCTATTTATTAGAATCCTAATGATGACCTTGATTCTTTGATTAATGGAAAATATATGACCTTAATATCTATTCTTCCCTTTGCCAAAGATCTGAGTCACTGTGATATTAGCATCTCAACATTGAGCAGAAAAAATCTATGGTCATAACTAACTTGCTATGAATAAAAGAATCTCAGTCTTCATCTCTTAAGTTAATGTTCACAATATATGAACTTATATTCCTTCATATCATTGAATTGATTATGAATATAACTATGTAACTTACATTAGTTCTAAGTCGTTTGCATTGTTGTATTTGCTCCAGTATTGAACTCTTGGCTTTCACTTCTGGTGCTTGCATATTGTTTAGGGCATGGCATGCAGTACAATAGCCCTCCAGTCTCGACCTTTCTATCTGGCCTTCCCAGCCAGTGCTCGATGGGCACTCAGATATCTAGATACCAAGAAGAATCGAGTTAATGCAATTGTTTTACTCAAAGCAAACAGAGTACCCTCGAGAGCTTCTATAAGGATACAAATAGGGAAGTTAAGATACAATTTTTAAAAACTTGCATGTGAATGTGTAAAATTATGGTCCTCTTTGGATTAGTTCTCTCAACCCTCCCATTTGTTGTGTTTATTTGGCCCACTGAGTATAAAGGTAAACAGAAAATAATTGTAATTTAGGTCCCTGGGAAAATGAATTGAGAGTGGGACAGGAATCCCCAGGAGTCAAAATATTAAATGCTCATATACAGGTCCTCTTAAAAAAGTGTAACTAACCTCCCTAATATGTATAATATAATATTCCTAGCAAAGATTTCAAGACTAAAAATATATGTTCAAGTTATTCATATCATCATCAAATATGTCTAGTACTAAGTACATAATTTGAAATTGTCATTAACCAACAAGGAGAGGAGAGAAAACCCAATTGGAACAGCTAAAGTGTTTCATTGCAGATCTTATCCATAAAATAGTAAATTAAATTTTCCACATTATGCCTGAAGAGGTTATGCCCAACCTTTATCAGAAAACTTGACAACAAGAAATGATTGTGAAAATTAATCTTTCCTAGCAGATGTTCCTAAATGATGTATAAAGAGAAAATACAAAAATGCACAAGTTAATAAATACAACTATCAAATTACCTTGTCAAGTAATGTCTTAGTTTCAGTAAAGAGTTCATGTGCTTCTGTGTAATTCTGTTCATAGAATCTCAGGCAGCCAAGATCATAAAGAAGCTAAAACAGCAAAAATAAAAATACATGTAACTTATTTTATGAATGGGCTAAGCCAAAATTTGCTTTGCCAATTAATTTTGGCCTCGCCAATTTCTAGACCCCAGCTATGCCCGTTATGATGTAATAACAAGGCTTTGACATGCAAAATGTCACCACCTACCATATGTTACAGATGGCGACTGCCAAACAACCACTGCTGAACACCATCCACAAAAAGTTGGAGACAAGGCATCAACATGACGTCACAAAAAACAGAGACCATAACAATGTCATCACTTTTTGGTGGTGACATAAAAACTGAACACAAATTAAGAGAGAATCTTTAGTTTCTTGAAATATTTAGAGAAGACTTGGAGGCTTAACTTATACAAGAAGACAAAAATAAAACCATCAATAAAACACTAGATAAGAAAAAATCATTTCAAAACATTAGATCATGTTATATGCACAAGCATTATTTCTATGCACCTACCTGACACTGAACCTGGTCTTTGGAAAGAACATCACCCTTCTCCCACTGAAAGAGGGAGCCACTGTCTGACATGGCTCCGAAGCACTGTAGAGTCGGAACGCGTAAATGACGACAATTGTGAAGGCACATATTCAGTACTTGACCTGATATGCTTAACTGTTCTTTTATCTGTAAAAACGAATGTTTTTTGTATTATGCTTGAACATGCACAAGACAAAATCGTATGGAATAACTTGCGATAAGCTAGTTATTAAGCTTGTTATTATGGTCTTACTAGTGGTTATTATTGAGTAATGGTACAGGTATTCGATATGGTATTGCAGCTTACACTTAAGTAATGGTACACGTATCCTTGGATTTTAGGCCCGAATACCGAGGTTTATTTTTTTAATTATCGTGTATTATTATTTTGTGTTAATATTAGTTAACCATCTAACTATTGGCATGATATGATAACCTTGTTATATTAATATAGCGCATAGGCGTAGCCAGGGGGATGTGATGTGTGCGATCGCACCCCCCCCCCTCCATAACCAATGAAAATAGAACCATTAGATAGAAGAAAAAAGTCTTAAAATGCTTTTTATTTGAAACTTCTAGCTCGATTTTGAACGAAGTTGCACCAATTTTTGTAAAATTCAAAACAAATCTTCAAAAACATTTTTTATGCCACGATCGCACCCCCCCCCCCCCTCCCCCGACTGAAAGCTGGCTACGCCACTGTAACGTGTAATCAATACGCTACATTTTGTATGTTCAATTTGTATACTAAAAACTGTTATTAATCCACAAATTTAGATGAAGACAAGATAATAATTCGAATCAAGAATGAAAAGGTGTCTAAGTATATAAATCTTAAGGGTAATGCATATTTGAATTAAACAGAGAGGCGGGTTAATTTATATTGTGCTATGAATTACGCTATTATTCAAAATTGCAGCTAAGATGCCTGTTTTATGATACCCTGCGTGCAGAGTCTAGTTAAACTACACTAAGATGAAGCTCTCTTTTAAGAAGTGAAGTCAAACGAATGCAAAGGGTAGTTTTATGAAAAATATCACGGAAGATGTATTCTAGATATCAGTAGTATTCTCAGAAATCTATTATCCGAAACGGATAACATCTGGCCACTCAGACAAACAATCGCAGACATAGGCTAAGCTTGTTTATTTAACAGTTAGATTTGTTGACTTACCGATCCGTATTTCAATCTCCGGGAAGACGTTCTTTTCACTTTGTATTTGCGTGCAGTGTAATATAAGTTGATACTTTTGTTCAAAAATGTACTTTTAATGGCCATTTTATGCCTTTTATTTTCAAATTATGTTTTTTTTTGATGTCAGTGTGAAAAGTCAAGAAACGTTAAACCCGACTTTTAATCAAAAAATGTTGGTTAATCACTTATGGCAAATCACAAGGTTGATGATGTCAACGGACCATGATCGTGGACGGCTATCAATATCAGGTGTATATCGCATAGAAAATAAATATAGCTAATTTTTCGCACTGATATGATGATGACAATTCTGGCGAATCGGGTAGATATTTCTCAGTTTTTTTCCGATAATAATACTAATCATTTCTATCAATTTTACAAACGGGGTCCTTTGAATGCACATTAAAACTATAAAAGTATTTATTGGGCGTACATACTCGTTCTGTCATGTTACTTACATTTCATTGGCAAGTTGCCCACATATTAATCCGGCGTTTTGTTTAATCAAATTTCCCGCCCCTTGAGGTTTCCGACTGTAAAACTTAATATTTAATACTAACCGATGCATCAGTTAATATTTTCAGAATACAAATTTTCCATTTTTATTTCTCTGATAGATAAAGTCTCATTTTGAATCTGTTCGTGTATTAAAGAGTATGATTTTATAATGCCTTGGTCACATTTGCTCAGATTTTCAGCACCGGCGCCCGGCCGATGAGTATTTTGTTCAAAATTGAATTCAATTCTGAACAAAATACTCAATCGGCCGGGCGCCGTAATGAAAATCGGAGCAAATGTTACCAAGTCATAACTGACGAAAAATCGAATGAGAACATGAACATGGATAATAGGGGCACTATTACGCTGCGTGCAGAGTCTAATTATAAACTACGAGAAGACAAAACACTCATTTAAGAAAAGAAGTCGAACAAATGCAAAGGGTAGGGTACTATAGAAGGGGATCATATAAAAGCACGATCTATTTCACAACGCCTTTAACTTTTGTTCTTCAACTGTTGCCCTTTGTGCATTTCAAAAATAAAATATCTTAATCTGATTTGTTCCACCTTTCTTTTCGCTCAGTTCTGCAATATTATGTCCATATGTTGTTTAGGATTATATGTCGTTTGCGAAATACACGTAGCTGTAAGACATTATGAGAATGAATATGGGAGTTTCCACGATAATGTTGTTCACATGATTTTATACACATACCTGCATAACAATCGGAGACAGAAGTCTTAATATTGTCCAATAAAAAAATAAGAATCTAACATTTAGTGATTACAAAAGGATTAATTGCTTAGTTCTCTTTGTTTTAGTCTTTGTTTTCTTAAATACGGAAGTGTACCAACATCACCTAGATTACATAAGAGATCATCTAACAGTCTAAAATTGCTTTTAATTGCAAGTTAATGCATTCCGACCAAAATTTGTATACCTGTAATTTTTGGGGGGGGGGGCGATGTTACATCACATAACCACAACGTTCATATAGAAATATACAATAAGCATGTCCGTATAAAAGCTAAAATTATAAAAACTCATTTCAAAGTCATTCTGTTCATGGAAGCGTCAAGTTATGAAAAACAATGCTAAACACTCAAACAAATCGACTTGATTACCTTTGAAAACTTCTTGAGAGGAAATGGACACATGTATTTTTCTAACTCATTAGAACGTCTGTCTGATTGAAATACTATTTTTTAAATACAAACATAAATGATTTAATCTTGGTCAGAAGTCTGAACATTGTCCAACAAAATAATAAGAATCTAACATTTAATGATTACAAAAGGATTAATTGCTATATAGTCTTAGTCTTTGTTTTTCTAACGGCGGAAGTGTACCAACATCACCTTGATTACAGAAGAGATCATCTAACAGTCTAAAATTGCTTTTAATTCCCGGGTTTTAATTACATTTTATGTATAGACTTTGTTGCCTCTATTCTCATTTTTAAACCTGTTTCTGTTTGCTTATTTACTAATTGTGATAAATTATTCAGTTAGTGTCGAAATCAAAACAATTTTCTACATTATAGTCCCCTCCTCTTGCACTGACTAAATATTAAAATAAGCCAGTCTGATTGCGATTTTACAAATCCTGTAAAAGTAGCTCCAAACCGCCTTTTAATCAGAGAAAACAATAAGTTAATTCATCTGATTGCGAAAATACGAATCAACCTGATTATCTGATCTCCATGCTATTTGATTCGTGCATTATCTACAAGTCAGTCGGGCAAGGGTGAAATTATTTCATTTGGAAACAGAAATAAATATCAGAACCCCTCTAGCATAATTATTCGGAAGAAATTCATACAAAAAATAAGGTACACAACTGATGAAGGGTCGCACACAATGCACGCACCCCTCTCCTCCTCCTCCGTGTTTGCCCACACACGACCATATTTGACAATTTTTCTAAAAGCGTTTTTCCCGGGAATATAGGTGTAGCGGTTGCCAGAAGTCGCACAGCTTGGGAGTCGGGGTATCCTGATCCATGCTTCAACGCCTGACGGGTCTGATATTTAGAGGGGGCGCAAGAATTAATAGGGGGCGGGGTAAACGTGAAAGTTGCCAAAATATCCATAGGCGTAGCCAGGAGGGGGGGGGTGCGATGGGTGCGATAACAATAGGCTTTATATATGCTTTAATGTTTTATTTATCATGATGCTTTTATGTAGGCAATTAATTACAGTTCTTTTTGCAAGAATATAAAACTGGTATGTTTATGCAAATTCCGATTGGACTAATATAAAGGGATATTGTTTCATTATGTGGACTTGAGAAAGTCCGACATACTCATTGCTTTCAACCCAAAACTTAAAATAGGAAGTTATCAAGATCCCAAGAACACGATCGCTACTTAAACAATACGTTTGTAAAATCCCGGCGATCGAAATGCAATCAAACTTTCGCAATCAGGTGCCTAATTAGTCTTTTGATCTCTAAAGTTTTACGACTGAATGTTTCAATGAACTCGTGAGAAGCAAACGCAATCATCATATAAACATTTTTCTAGTCAATCTAAAATAGAGTAAAACCCAGGGAAAAAGATCGCGTGTTCATAGGAATTAGGCATATTTCAATTTTGAAATAACAAAAGTCAGTCTCGGAAGAATTTTCCAAGCATTCCCTGCTTCGATGCGTTTTTATTGCAAAAGCCGTTTAGCGCCGATATGAATTCATTATAGGGTATTAGGGTTGTGCTTTATTTGTTTTATTTATATAAATGTTATAAAATGTGTACGACACTTCTGCACTTTAATGAATTATTTTTAGGGTTACAATGCATATTTGACTTTTCCCTCTAAACATTTAAAATTCATCTTTATACTTTTCTTAGTTTGCTTCAATAAAATAAACATTGGATCCCAGATAGTTATCAAATTCTCAGACATTTGATTAATATAGATATTTGTACTTCCTTTGACCAGTGGTGCTGGTGTGACTGAGATTCGAATCTAATCTGTTTCATTTTTATGTAAATTGAGAGGAATAAAGTTTTATTTTAAGCGTTTTAACAATCTTAACGTTTGGTGTGCAGCTCAACTTAATACACAATCAAAGGTCAAATACAGAAATAAGAACATGCCTTTTATTTGTTATTCAAGCTCGAGCAATATCCCCGTTATAAAACCAAAATAACTGCGGTTAGGTACCATATCTTGCTTACAGTAAAGACAGGCCATATCATTCTGGTATGACAGAGCCACTCTTATCTGCCGATTGTGGAAGGATAAAGACAAAAGGGTCGCGGCTATCGCGATGAGGCCATCTTATTTCTTGGAATTATTTCTGCCTCTCATTCCTCAAACCGGCTTCGTTAAACAGTGCCAAAATATATAAGTCGGAGCCAAAAACAAGACTATTTTTATATTTAAATCCCCTCACCTTGTCAATGTCTATGCCTGCATCTGGTTTTCCCACCTTTGGGAGGGAGCCAATATACACATAGATTACTTACTGGCCATGGACAGGGGGGGCACAGAAACAAACATTCTGGGGTCATAAGGGATACTTGGGGAAGGGGGAGGGGTGGTGGTGAATAGTGAAGTCCGGGAGTGAAGTTAAGGGGTACTGAAATCTTTCTTTTGATATTTAGTGCTTGAATGGAGACTTGTTTCCACTCCCCGCATTCTAGTAGAATTTAAATATTTGATCCAAAGGAGTTATTTTAAATCAAACTTGCATTCCGATTAATTAACACTCCAATGATTGTACCGCTTCACTATTGTCTAAGATAATTATAATGAATTCACGGGACACTATAGTCTTCCTTTTAAACTTTAGTGGTTGGATTGAGACTTGTTTCCCCACCCCGTACACTAGTAAATTTGTAAATTTTAAATATTTGATTTAGGGAGGTATTTGCAATCCAACTCTGATGATGCAAGACTAGTCAGCCAAGACTAAATTATGAACTTATTATCATTTAGACTATTGAGCTCATTAAATTATAATTCCATAGTTAATATAGTTAACACATAGTTAATCCTGTCAACACAATAATGGTATTAATTGGCATGATATTTAGTCAGAGACGGTTTAAAAAGTTGTTTAGATTAATGATAGTATTAGGAAAAATCCTAACTCAAAGTTTTTGTTCTCTCGCAATCCAGAGCAAACCACTCGCCGGGCAAGTATTCTTTAAAAACGTGAAGTTTTCACCATGTTGAGCAGTTTTGAAAATTGTCCAATTTGAACCATCGCCTTGTATATTTCTGTAACTGCCCCCCCCCCCTTGACACTCGAGTGTAAGAATCCTTTCCACACTGTCAATGGTTTTACAAAATAGTTCATGTCAGAAAGGGGGAGGGGTGAGTGTGGAGAACAATCACTGACTGCGATTTGTATGATTGAATATTATACACTTATCATAAATCCGTAAAGAATAGTTTTAAAATAAACAGATTGTTTTATGTTATGATTGGAGTGATGTATGCATAGAAGAATGACACTGGTTTGAAATATCTTAATTATCCCATTGAATGAAGCCATCCGTCCCTCTGTCCATTCTTAACTCATACTAGTTTGATTTGATTTAAAGGAGAAGTCTCGGTGTAGAACGTGTACACACTAATGAGAACGAATTTAACTCATTTCTATTTAGGCTTCGTTTATATACTAGCGGGGCTTTAGAGCATTTACAAACGCACGAATTGTATTGTTTTAAGGCAACTTTTATGACATATAATCATTATATTTAAAGCTGATTAATTTTAGATTATATTCGGTTCAATTTTACAAATAATGAATAGTATTACAGTATATCGAAAAATGTACAATGATTTACATTAAATTGCGCAGACTGCAAACAATGTACATGGTTGGCGAATTTGCATGCGCGTTCTTAATAATAAGAATTAAAGGTTGAACTTAAAAATCAAACATTTTCTTTTTTAAACATAATAAATCTTTAAATCAAGAAAATAAAAATAAGATTGATGATTGAACTTTTCATAGTCAACTGCGACTGTGTCGACGCATGTTTATTTACTTAGCTAATTAGATATAGTAAAATTGTTAATTGCCGCAACGGATAATACGTACATGTAAGCTGTTCGGATAAGACATTTCTATATGATTAATAACAAATCCCGGGCAGAATGTTATTCAACAGTACCTGATCTTATCAGTTATTATTCAATTTGGATAATAAATCTATTATCTCGTCGTATTGATGTTTATTATATAGTGTTTCTCGTTGTGATGATATTTAACTTAAAAATGAGATCCATAGACCATGGCTTTAAAAACATATTCATATGTCGATGAGTGACAGTGTAATAAATAATCTAGTTTCGGACAAATGTGTATAAATATTTATTGATTTAGAGACCCTTATTTTTTTGACAAAATCCAGAATAATTGCATGGGATTTTTTGGTATTTATTGATATAAGGGCTTTCCCCCTTCTACCCAAAAAGCATGTTATAATATGGAATGATTTAAAAATAGCTAAAAAAATATGTATGGTACCAGTTCAATCTTAAATGTTTGGTAACTGTGATTCAAACCTGTATAAGAACATGAGAGTTGGCTTCCTGAAGTTGGGTAGCTGGATCTGGTTGCCCTGGTAACACAGCTGGTTGTCCTGGCAACACAATATTGGCTGACTGTGTCTGTCTGTGGGGAAAACTCTCTTGGATCACGCACTGCACACAACTAAAAATATTAAACAAGTCAAATTACTTTTAGCAATTTATTTAATTTGCCAGGAAACACGAAACCTTGAATAAAAAAGTCCAAATTAATCAAGTATACAAGAAAAATTTTATCAATTCCTTTTTTAAAGTTAAATGTTGCACTTAAAAAAATTCAAATATACTCCTAAGTTAAGGAACACAACCATTTTTTCTTTTCTTTTACATCTCATTTGTCAAGATGGTGTTTTTATTGGAAGACAAAAATGAAATATGCTTCACAACATCTGATTTCATTATGGGAACTTAGACATAACTTTTATTATATAGAGTAGTATATATCTGTCAATGGATAATGAAAAAATGAATGAACAAATGGAAAAGCAGGTTTGATTTAGTGTTATGGGAATCAAAATACATGGATGTATTTACCATCTATGATAGAGCTGTAAGGCGAACCAGGCCTCATCTGGTATTGATGTGTAATCAAGTGTGGTATGCTTGGTCACTTCCCAATCATCATTCAGAGTACAACATAACAGTTCTAGAAGTACAGCCTGGACAACCATCAAAGGGAGCCTGCAAGAATTATATAATAATCAGAATCACATGTTTCTTCTACCTCAGAGGTCTAACTGGAAAGACTAAAATACAACATTGCAGGCGTGTAGCCAGGGGGGGGGGCTCGATGGGTCCCCCAATCCAAAGTTTCTTTCAAAATCATGCAGTTTTCACCATTCTAGTGATTTTGGCCATTTTTGGACCAATATTGTCAAAAGTGAACCCCCTGGAATTTTTTCGAAAAGTGAACCCCCCTTGGCAAATTCTGACTACAGGCCTGCATTGTATGAACATTATGCCAAAATGGATTTACACAGCATGCAAAAAACAACAGCATGATCAGTCATCCAAAATATTCCAAATAATGATGAAAGAAAAATGATAAAGAAACAATGCCTAACAACTCTCCCACAAAATCATTGGACATTTCATTCATACTGAAATATAATCACAAAATATCATTCGGCTTATCCAGATGTTATGCAGAAATATATATAGCAATGTGTCCATGTGATACTATTACAACAATATTGTGTCTTTTTAATGAACAATAAACAACCAACAGAACAAATATGAACAGTTAACCCTTTCCCGACGTGAATATAAGAGGAAAATGTTGGCCCTGGTGACGGATAAGTAAGAGCAGTTTTTAGGGGAAAACTGAAAATTACCTATGCCCAGGGACCTATACCTTGAATTTTATCACTGAAATACATTTTTTAGTAAGGACTATCGTATTAGAACAACTTGTCAAAATTTGGTGTAAAAATACTGAATAGAACTGGAGATATTATCATTTCATCGATGTATATAAATAAAAATTATGGTGCCAAAAGGAGCCTATCGTCCTGAAAGGTATTACATAATAGGGCTCCATATGGAGCCCATCGTCGTGAAAGGGTTAAAAACCCAATGTACACCATGACATATATGTACAGATATTCAAGTTGGGGGTTTGATATAAAAATAAGGGATATATGTAGATGTACTTATATAGGAAATGTTCCATACTTGTCTTGTAGTATGGAGAGGTCCCATTTAAGATATGCAGCAGACTTCATGGCTAGCAGCTTTAGAGTGTGTATTCTGCGTAGACGCTTCTCAACATCTCCGCCATCCTCTGAAAAATCATTAAAGGTATTCATTATTAGAAGTGTCACAGGTAAGATAATTCTCCGGGTCGGGTCGGGCCAGAAAAAAAGTGTGCGGGTCAGGTAATTTCGGGTTGGGTCAGAAGACAATAGAAAAATGAATTTAGTACTAGAAATTGAAACTATGCTTGATGAAAAAAATGATAGAAACTTAAATCGTAATAGCATTAAGTTGGAGAGAAGAAGAGTAAATTATTTTATGTTCATAGTTTATATGTATACAAGAAATAGGCCAGCTAAAAGTTTTTGCCAGGAATATAAAGCATTTTACAACAATTTGCGATATTCCTGAGGGTTCTGACCACATTTTCGGATAAGGAATGACACAGGATTTTGGCTAATACAGGATCCAATAAGGGATCTGATAAGGGATTTTGAATATCAAAAATATTTGCAGGTGTTATTCACCGAGAAGTAGAAATATCATGGGATATGCAAGTTATATAAAGTTTAATGATGTATAGGATATCCTATGATTTTGAGAGACATCATTTTTATCCACGAGTTGATCAATATCTGGATATGAGTGAGCATAGCGAATGATTGCAGATATTGATATCAAAGAGTCGATTAAAATGATATCATGAAAAAATCATAGGATGATAGGATGTTCTATTTATCCCATAGTTCACTCAACGAAGCATTTCAAAACTAATCATAGGATGTTCTATTTATCCCAAAGTTTGCCTTACAAAGCTTTTCAAAACAACATTCCGTTTTATATAGCCAAAACATTAATTGTTTCCATATTTGTGACTTCATGAAATCACCATGGAAACTCATGTAAAAATGCACGTCACATTGGCGGGAGTTCTCAAATCCGTGGAAAAATAATATCTGTGGAATATTCTCCGTATTCCACAGATATCACTTTTTTCCAAGCATTTGCAAATAAATATAAATATAATATATATGTGTTATTCTACAGATTTGACCTCAACTATGGGATAAATAGAGGTTATTTGATGGGAGGGATGGAATATGAATTTTATTTCAAGGGATAAGGTGACAGTCTGAGTGTAAATATGATATTTTCCAAGGCCAATATCATATCTTCTCGAGGAAAAATCATATTACATCACGACCATCAATAACCTATTTATTTCATAATATTTTACTGAAACTTGTTTTGTATGTCGTCACCAAATGATGGTGGCATTAAATGATACAATCTAATTTATCGAATGACATTTTTAACTTTTATTAACAAATTTTAAAATAGAAATAATTTAAAACACTAATATAGATCATAATCTACCATAATAACACGATATTAAGTCTCATGATAGTTCTGATAGGGGATTTTGGCTGATAGGGATCTGATATGGGATTTTTTGAATATAAATTTTATTCCCTGTTATTATGGAATAATATGATTTATATGATCTCAAAACATCACTGATGCACTCAGGAATAAATGTTAGATGGGTCAGATTTTAAGTGCTTTGGCTAGTTCCAGCACTTCTCCATATAAAGGATGTGTAATGGAGAAATTTAATATAGCAAAATAAACAATTACCATTTTCCACTGTATTGTTGTCTTGTCCTTGTTGCTTTGCAGCGCCCTCTTTATCATCCTTTGCAAGTTTCTGTGAGATTTCAGCCTGATTGAGAAACTGTTGTATCAACGCTGTAGCACTTGGGTCTAAAATACAATTAAAGGGATATTTTACTATCTTGACACAGGTTTCTGGAGATGACTGACAGTTGATTTCTTGAAATAATGCTGTGGCACTTGGGTATAATATACAATTGAAGAGATATTTTACCATCTTGGGAAGTCTCTTTGAGATTTCTGTCTGGTGGAGGAGTGCTGAAACACTATAGTATTAAAACAGGGACTATTAAAGGGATATTTTGCCTCCTTGGGAAATTTGTAGGAACTTTCTAGGAGTTGTTTGCCTAGGTGGGTTTGATTTTCCTCAACTACTTGTGTATTATAATCTTGTACTTGAAAAATGTTGTCAATATTTGACCATCCTCCTAAGCAGGTGTCCAGAATCCGTACCTCCTTCTTCCCCCCTGCTATAACCAATTTGGAAGCACCCGATTAAACTGAATCATGTGATGTTATTATGCGCAATGGCTTATACATGATTTCTGTCACAGTGTTGCGACAGCCAATCAGATTGCTAGTTCTTAATCGGGGGAATGCTAACTGCTTATTGCAGGGGGTAAAAAGAAAGAATATATTCTGGATGTTGAAGCCCTGTGATCGGAGGTTGATATTTGAAACAAATCTGAATTTTGTCTCAATAACCACCAATCCAGCTTATTTTCAACTAGAAAGATTTCAATACACAAGTAGTTGTGGAGGTGATTTGAAAAATCAACCCCACATTTATGGGGGAAGGCTGGGTGTACTATCCTTATTCGGTTTGTTTATTTTGTGGTATGAGGAAAGAAGTTCTATTAAAAACCTGCTTGGGGACTTCAATGGTATACTACAGCACCATCTTTGAATAGAATACTATAATTTGCAGACATATAATGCACAGAATAACTGGAAAACATGTGATCTAAATGGTGGACAATTCAAATGCTGAATAATTGCCGATATGAAGCATTGTTTCAAGTAATCAATCATACTATTACATCGGGAAAAGTGTTTTGTAAAAGAGAACAAGAGAATTGGTAAGGAAAATGCTGATATGAGACCTGATTTCCATCTACAATTCATCAAGGTATCCAACTAAAACAATATGGTGGACAATAGAGAGGTTAAGCAACACCACTTTTTACAACATAAACCGCGAACGGGAAGGCGCGCGCAGGTTTTTCTCAGGATATGACGTCATATTGTTCTACTTATTTCCCGGTTTACGTACATCCAAACGTGAAAAATCAAAGTCTAGGTAGGTCGTTCCGTAAAGGATTTTTCATACTTTATCAAGTTCGATTGAGATAAATATGATATAGGTCGAATACATAAACATGTTTGACACAAATCTGTGTATAAATCGAGATCATTTGTCTCCAATCTAATCAAATATAACTTGAATATTGAGGCACCCATTCCATATGTATATTCTGATGAGATTACATGCAATTGCAATTACCCACATGTCAACTCATCCTAATTCTTTATACATATTGTGAGACCATAGTAATAAAACTATGAATGCTTTGAAGACTTGCTTTAAAGATATTATTGCGTCCAGTTGTATTTTGTAAGATTCAAGATGTCATAGAACACTACCAGGGTGTGAAACATCTCATTTGTTAACACTTCAATTTGTCAATAAAGTAATATTTTTTATACTTTTAAAGTAGAAAATAAAACGAAAGGCCGCTAAGAAAAAGAAAAAAAATCATTTTGAGGTTTGCGTTTGTGTTACGTCTAAAGTGCTCCGCTTAAAGCACTTTTGTTCATAGTACGTAAACGGGAACGTAAAGGTTTACGTTTGCGGTTCGCGTCATGAAAAATCGTCTTGCTTAACCTCTCTAATAGGAACATTTTCAAAACCCAGATATAAATGAAAAATATATCAATGAAATAAATCTATTGTTTAAAAAAAATATAAATGCTGAAAAAAGGCAGATATGAAGCATTGTATCCAGTAATCAATCTCTCATTACATTGGTAAACATTTTGTGAAAGAAAACAAGAGAATACTGTACTAGGTAAGGAAACTGCTGACATAGTCCTGATTTTCATCTTCAATTCATCAAGGTATCCAACTACATCTACACAATTTGGAATAGGTTTCAGCTGTCGTTGAGGAACATGTAGTTTGCCTTATCAAGGTCAAAAAATGAAAAAAAAGCATACCGAACCCACATTCATGGGGGCACATGTGATCATAACAGTGAATGGTAACATATTTGGGATCATTTTCTGCGGATAGATGAGCTTGCAGGCCATCTAATTATCCCGCATTTTGCTTATTTGTCACGCATTTGCTGAAGAAATTGAAGTCACGCCTGTTCTTTCTGCATGAGAGAATATGTCAAGCAAATACACGTTTTTTCAAATCATTGTCAAGCAAAAATGTTTCAGTTCACAAAAGAACACCGAAACAAATGAACACAGTTTGGTAGGAAGTTTCATGCGAATATGTCATGCATTTGCTTTGTTTTGTCTCGTCCCCTTACCTTTGTTGAATATTTTTGACATGAAGGTGAGACTGAGATGTTTTGCTGAATTTCTCTGAAATTCTTTGAAAGGAGAGTTCTACCCCTAGATCAAATATATGACCAATGAATTTAATATGAATGAGGATAAATTGAAAGAAATTGGATTACCTGGTGGGTTTTGAGCAAGATGTTGTTCTAATAGTTCTTCATTTAGAACAAATTCAAACCACATTGGTTTATTCACAAGTTGTGAGTCATCTAAAGCATTCTCTTGCTCCATCTCTGCCATTATCGAGCTAAAACCATAGAAAAGATTTTAAAACTTGTTTTCATGGGTTCGACGAACAGACACAACTTCCGGTTTAAGGATGGTAAAGCTTTCATTGAATTACTCTAATAGCAAGTATCATTTGGACAGAAGGTATAATTTTTCTGCAAAAATACTACCTTAAGAAGGCTCCAGCATACTTTAACTACGATATTGAAACCCTGAGTCTCACATTTTTGCTCGAAATCTTTTGCGCAAAACGACAGTGCGCGCGCAAATTAGTAAGATGGCTACTTCCGTAAACAAAGTTGATGTTTCTGATTTTCTACTTGAAGAGGTATTTTAGTGTTTTCTAGCCTAAATTTAAACATCATTCATACAATCATAGATAGTTTATAATGTCAAGAAACTAATTACGCCATTTGATTTAGAATAACTTTGACATTTTATTTGCAATGTCTGTACACAGATATCAGAATTTTTATTGTACAGTGGTGAACATAAATAATTACTAGAGTCCATTTCACTGCTTCATTTCGTCAGTAGAACGGCGAAAATAAGAAATTGGGAGACAATTGTGCAATAATATATGGAAAAGTGTATTCATAATGTACATGAATGACATTTGTATATTTCAGATTTTTTAGTTTTTTGTGCAATAAGCCTGTGCCGTCTTGTAATTTGAAGAATTTCAGCCATGTTAATGTTATTGAAAATAACATGGCAGAGAAACATCCAAATATAAGAGGCCACACACTTTATAAGCCAAACTAGAAGCAATCCAAGATATACAAATGTCATTCATGTACATTATGAATATACTTTTCCATATATTATTGCACAATGGTCTCCCAATTTCTTATTTTTGCCGTTCTACTGACGAAATGAAGCAGAGCCCGGTATACACCAATGGGGCAAAATCCCACTTGCCCCATCGAGTCCCATCTTGCCCCATCGAATCCCAATTTGCCCCATCGAATCCCACGAAGTCCCATGGGACCTTGATGACTTTGCCCCATAGAGTCCCATCAAGTCCCATGGAGTCCCATTAAATCCCACCGTGCCCCATTGGTGTATGTCAGGCTTCACACAACATGTCATATTCATCGAAAATCCAACGATGCCCCATGGAAAGAATGAACATGTTCATTATCGATGGGACTCCTTGGGATTTTGCCCCATCTTGCCCCATCGAGTCCCACGGAGTCCGTCTCATGTGGGACTTCATGGGACCTCGTGGGACTCGATGGGGCAAAATCCCACGAAGTCCCATGGAGTCTCACGGACTTCATGGGGCACAATCCCAAAAGGTCCCACGAGGTCCCACGAATGTTAAGTCTATGGAGGTCCCAACTTGCCCCATTGGTGTATACCGGGCTTAACACTATGGAAAATACATTCTGTCACATATGTCATAAATTCTTACCTCAGTGAATTGAGTGCTCTATTTTCTCCATCCCTGAACGTACAAATAAAGTGGAATTTGTGTCCATAATGACAAAAAGGAACTTCAAAAGTATAAGTGATATTCACATGTCAAAGGTGCAACAATAAGTTCAATGATCATCGACCAGTGTCAAAATATATTTAAGTTTGGATAAATCGTCAAGATTAACATATGTTTTTATTATCTGCAAAGAAACCCCCTGGATGAACATTATTTCAGCTGATATTCCTCTATAAGTGGGACTCCCTTTATAGAAGCTTTGAACTGAATTTACACTTCTTAATGCTGAAATTAAGGGTTTATCCATACCTTTTAAGAAAATAGGTATGTCAAAGAAGATGTTAAGCCAAATATTGACCCGATTGCTTAGAAAAAATTTCGAATTTTCTCTCTACAGTCCTTGTTGCCCCTTTAATGCCGACTTCAAATGTTGAGATGATTTTGGAGCCCGATTATGCAACATGACACGTGCCAGCTTTCAAAATGCCGTTCTGCCATTTTGAAACCTGTCATGAGTAAATAAGATCCATGCTTGAGTCCAAATTTTGTAGTCGATGCTTGGAGGTCGGTGGTCTATTCTTTTTCGTACACCTTATTATTTAAGCATAGGGTGTTGATATGATATGGCCCTAGTCATCTAAGAAGGTTTCTGTAACTGAAATCTATAAATTTATTTATCCAGTTTTTGATCGATGTGGGAGCATACTTTTTGGCACATTTGTTTTAAAAGTATAATCATTCTAGTGAGTGGGTTATTGTGAAAATGATTGTTTATTTTGAATCATTTTCCGTCACAGAATAAAATACCTCAAGTAATCTAGTATTTGTTGATTGGCTACTGATGCAAAACAAAGGTTCACAAAGGTATTTTCAATGCCAAATAAACATTTTTGTCCTATTGATATTTAATATGTTAATATGCTTCAATTCTAGTACAAGGCCTGCATGTTGTGTAATGCATTCTATGGGCCAAACTTTGGACAGCCTGTCTGCAGCTCATGCCACTATTTTATTTACCCAGAAGATGTCAACATCCCAGAAGACAACTGTTTTCTAATGCAGGTAAGGTCTTGCCATTATTTATCAATAGCTACTATATCACTTAAATGCAGTTTTCTTCCCTTTTTTGTCGAGTAGGTGAAGAATTCTCATTTTTATATTTCTGACAGAAGTAGATTAACCCTTATCCTCCCGATTAAAATGGCAAAAAGTGCAATTTTGCCCCTTTCTAAAAGCTGTAAATCAAGGTTGAAATAATTACTTTTCAATTGTTTTTATTTTAAATTGATCGTGAAGACCAATTCAAACGCACATTTTACCTAGTTTATTCAATATCATCCATGTGTGTCATACTTCACCTGTTCCAAATGTGCTTTAATTTCTTCTGGACCACCATTTTCCCAGAAGGGTTAAATAATATTCCCATTTTCATAAAACAAGTGCAGTAAAACCTGTATATATCTTTTTACTGAAAAAAGGTGTTCACTTCAGAAAGCTAAAGGGTAATGTATACAGAAGTCACGTGTGGAGGAAGGGTGTCTACTGGAGACAGGTGTTCACTAGAGAGAGGTGTTCACTAGAGAGAGGTGTTCACTAGAGAGGTGTTCATTAAGACAGCTTTTACTGTAGTTCTAATTTTCAAGTTGGTGTAAATTGGTAAAATTAATCCTACTTTAACCATGTACTTTACTTACCATCATATAGAAGACAGACTCGGGAGATTCCGGGAATGAAGAACCGAAAGGCGAGGAAGATTTTTATGAGTCTGAAGAAAAGCGTAATTTGGGGAGCCAGCCAAGCCACTATGCAAGTAGCCCAAAAACGGACAAATTAGTTGACAGAATAAAATCCCTCACTGTTTATCAAGAGCAGAACAAATGTAATGTTCCAGATGGACTGGTTGATTCAATACCACCAGAAGGTAACTTTCAATATTCTATATCATGGTTCATTTTTTTAATACCAGTATATTGTTTTTGTGACCATGCTTTAAAGTAATCATCTACTTCAAATAGATTCACTAGTATAACTAAGTGCAATCACTTACTACACAGGGATGAGACATGCCGAGTACTTAAATAGTACTCATGGCATTTTAACACTAACTGAGTACTCTTTTCAGTAAATATTAGTACTAAATGAGCACTTATGACATAAGTACTGATTTATTGCATGTTTTAGTACTAAATGAGTACTTATATGATGAGTGATAAAATAGCAGTAATTTCATTGATTTTTAGCGCTAAATGAGTACTCATTATCATATCATGAGTGATAAAGTAGTACGAGGGGTGATCCAAAAGTCTTGGACACCCTGCTCTATTTTTGTTGGTTTTTGACAAAATTACTTTAAACTTTCCAATAATAAAAACCAACAACCTAAATACTTTGTGTATTAATTTCATGGAGAAAGGATATATTTTATATAGTTTTCTGGATAGTTTTTAATACAGGGACCCTGCCACCCGGAACGGTATTCGCACATGGCAACTTTCAGCCTTAAATGTTGCCACCATTTCACTTGTTTCCCAAGTCTTGACCACTATATTTCTTTGAATTTTGAATGTTAAACCATGTTAGTTTACTCCCTTTGTCACTAGGCAACCAATTAATTGTGTTTTAATTATAATGTCACATATGACAATGACCGTACATGTCAAATTCTAAGAAAATGCCATCGGACAAGCAACCCTCATTCTGGTATCATTTTTGCTGCAAGATGGCTGCTGAAATGCAGTACACGAAAGAAATCAAAGTGGAACAAAAAATACTACAAGATTATTTTCACTATTATTGACCTTGAGCAGCTACTATATGCACGATACAGTCTATGTATGGGTTCGTGTGATTTTCTTCCTTATCTCCAAGTTGAAAGGAGGGTTGAAAGAAAATGTTTTTTTACTCATTGGATGAGGTCAGGAGTGGCACTCCAGCAGCATTTGTATCACATAAGCAATGGTGGTGTCATAAATGTCTTCTATTCATTGATAAAGCGGTATGAAAATGTGTCCAAATTTGTAGAAAATATGTTGAAAAGTAGGTATTAATATGTGAAAATGATGATGGCAGATGACACTCAGATTGAAAATCGAAAATTCTCTCATATCATGGCTGGTTTAGGTTGTGCACCTGCAACTAAAGTACTTGCCATATTATAACAGTTGTGATGTGATTTGCTATATCTAAATACCGTTCCGGGTGGCAGAGACCTGGTATTAAAAAATATTTAGAAAAGTAGCTAAAATATATTATTTTCTGTTGAAACTTATACACAAAGTTGTTCAGATGTTGATCTTTATTATCTGAAAGTTTCATGTAATTATATTAGAAAATAGCAAAGTTAGAGTGGGGCGTCCAAGACTTTTGGATCACCCCTCGTACTTATAAAATTGTTTTTCAGCACTAAATGAGTACTCATATCATGAATGAGTGCTCATGAGTGCACTTTTGCCAGAGTGCTAATTAGGAGGCCCCATCGGGGGGCCTCCTATCAATTTTGTAGATATTATTCTTTATTCTTTATTCTTTATTATTAGGAGGCCCCATCGGGGGGCCTCCTATCAATTTTGTAGATATTATTCTTTATTATTTATTCTTCCTCCCTCTTTTTCTCCTACTTCCAACTAACTTTTAACTAGCTACTACATAGTCCTACTAGGGACCTGGGCTGAACTTGGCGGGAAAGGAATTTTTATCTAGGTCAAGGTCAAAATCTAGGTCAAATCTAAGTTTTTTCAAGTTTCTCAAATCCTGACACTACACTTCAATATTTTTGGCTGAATTTTTGCATACAGATAGATATTAGTATTCTATTAGTCTTAGCCTTTTGCCGTCTAGAGAAATTTTGCCTAGATTTTGAGATATTGAAGGTCAAAAAAGGTCAAAAAAGGTCTTTTTTCAACTTGCTTCAAATTGACCAAATTTTTTTTTAAAACTCATCTACAAGTTCTCAGGATTCCAAATCTGACCTTACTTTTGACCTTTGACCTTTGGTTGACCTTCAGTGACCTCCGAAAGGTCAAGAAAGTTGATTTTTCAAATGGATTTTCTGGATTCAAATTTAGGTATATTTATTCACAAAAGTCCTTCTGAGGTCTAAAAAAGTAAAATTTGCGAGGTCAAAGGTCAAGGTCATCAAACGAAATCACAAACTGTGTTTTCTAAGTTTCTCAAAATTGGAGACTACAAATCAATTTTTTTTACTGAAAGTCAGAATATATATTCCTCTAAAGGTTCTACACATATTAGCAATTGACTATTTATTAAAATTTTGCTCCAGTTGTGAGATATTAGAACTCAAAAACTGAAAAAAGGTCAAATTTCGAAATTTTTCAAGGATAAATTTCAACTTGCTCTAAATTGACCAAACTTTTTTTTAAAAAGCATCTACAAGATCTCAGGAACTCAAATATGTCCTTACTTTTGACCTCCGACCTTTGGTTGACCTTCGGTGACCTTCGAAAGGTAAAAAAAGTTGTTTTTTCAAATTGATTTTCTGGATTCAAATTTAGGTATATTTGATCACAAAGGACCCACTGAGGTCTAAAAAAGTAAAATTTTCAAGGTCAAAGGTCAAGGTCATCAAACTAAATCACAAACTGTGTTTTCTAAGTTTCTCAAAATTGGAGACTACAAATCAATTTTTTTTACTGAAAGTCAGAATATATATTCCTCTAAAGGTTCTACACATATTAGCAATTGATTATCTATTAAAATTTGGCTCCAGTTTTGAGATATTATAGCTCAAAAACTGAAAAAAGGTCAAATTTCAGAATTTTTCAAGGTCAAATTTCAACTTGCATTAATTCGACCAAATCTTTTTTAAAAATCATCTACAAGTTGTCTGGAGTTCATACATGATCTTAAATTTGATATTTAACCTTTAGTTAACCTTCTAATTGGCAATGCCTACAGGGCCTCCGTAAGATTGCTTGCAATCTTCTAGTTATTAGGAGGCCCTCCTGAAAGGGCCTCCTATAGCTTTTGTAGCTTTTCTTTATTCTTTATTCTTTATTTTTATTAGGAGGCCCTCCTGAAAGGGCCTCCTATAGCTTTTGTAGCTTTTCTTTATTTATTTATTTATTATTATTCTATCAAAGCAGTTTTCTCCTACTTTCAACTAGCTTTCAACTTTCTACTATATGCTCCTACTAGATACCTGGTTTGATCTTGATGGGAAAATATTTCATATCTAGGTCAAGGTCAAAGGTCAAAATCTAGGTCAAATCTAAGTTTTTTTTCAAGTTTCTCAAGTTTGTCATTATACTTCATTATTTCTTGCGATGAATTAAACTGAAACTACATTTAAGTATTCTCTACAAATTGTTCACTATATGTCAGCATTAAATTTTTACCGTTTTTGAGATATTTGACGTCAAAAAACGGTCAAAAGAGGTCATTTTTCAAATTGCTTCAATCTGACCAAATTTTTTTTTAAAAATCATCTACATGTTCCCAGGAGTCCAAATCTGACTTCAGATTTGACCTTTGACCTTTAGTTGACCTTCAGTGACCTACGAAAGGTCAGAAAAGTTGATTTTTCAAATTGAGTCTTTGGATTCAAATTTAGTTCAGTCTAATTACAAAAAGCCTACTGAGGTCTAAAAAAGTAAAAATTTCAAGGTCAAAGGTCAAGGTCATCAAATTAGGTCACAAACTGTGCTATCTAAGTATCTCATAGTTCAAGACTACAAATCAATATTTTTAATTGAAAGTCAAGATATACATTCCTCTAAGGGTTTTACACATATTAGCTATTGACTATTATTAAAATTTTGTCCCAGTTTTGAGATATAAGATCTCAAAAACTGAAAAAGGTCAATTTTTCAAAGTTTATAAGGTCAAATTTTAACTTGCTTCAAATTCACCCAAATTTTTTTAAAAAATCATCTACAACTTCTCAGGAGTTCATATTTAACCTCAGATTTGACATTTGACCTTTAGTTGACCTTCAGTGACCTTCGAAAGGTCAGAAAAGTTGATTTTTCAAATTAAGTGTTTGGATTCAAATTTAGGGTTAGCCTAATAATAAAAGACCTACTGAGCTCTAAAGCAGTAAAATGTTCAAGGTCAAGGGTCACGGTTATCAAATTAGGTCAAAGGTCAAAATCTAGGTCAAATCTAAATTTTTTTCAAGTTTCTCAACTTTGTCCTTATACTTCATTATTTCTTGCGATGAATTAAACTGAAACTACTTTTTAGTATTCTCTACAAATTGTTTACAATATGTCAGCATTAAATTTTTACCATTTTTGAGATATTTGACGACAAAAACGGTCAAAAAAGGTCATTTTTCAACTTGCTTCAATCTGACCAAATTTTTTTTTAAAAATCATCTACAAGTTCCTAGGAGTCCAAATCTGACCTCAGATTTAACCTTTGACCTTTAGTTGACCTTCAATGACCTTCGAAAGGTAAAAAAAGTTTTTTGAAAATCATCTACAAGTCCTCAGGAGTTCACATCTGACCTCAGATTTGATATTTGTCCTTTAGTTGACCTTCAAATTGTCAAAAATGCCTAAGAGGGCCTCCGTGAGATTGCTTGCAATCTTCAAAAGTCTAGTTCTTCTTCTTCTTCTTCTTCTTATTCTATCAAAGCATTTTTCTCCTACTTCCAACTAGCTTTCAACTACCTACTATATGATCCTACTAGGAACCTTGGCTGAAATTGGGGGGAAAATATTTTTTATCTAGGTCAAGGTCAAAGGTCAAAATCTAGGTCAAATCTAAGTTTTTTTCCATGTTTCTCAAGTTTGTCATTATACTTCATTATTTCTTGCGATGAATTAAACTGAAACTACATTTAAGTATTCTCTACAAATTGTTCACTATATGTCAGCATTAAATGTTTACCGTTTTTGAGATATTTGACGTCAAAAAACGGTCAAAAGAGGTCATTTTTCAACTTGCTTCAATCAGACC